GGGCTGACCACTGAGACGGTGCTAGTGGCATTCTGAGTGAAGGAAGTCAGTTATTGGGTTTCTGCGCCTTTCAGAGTACTGATTGTAATAATTAAAAGTAAGCACAGTGTGCCAGGCCCATTGCCAATTCATCACTGTACATGCCTCCTTGTTTAGTGCTTTGTTCCATCTCATCCTCTAATCAGTATTTGATGCATTTCTTTCTCCCTTCCTTTGAAGTTGCTGAGGGTCTAGACAGTGTATCCGCTTACTCTGTCACCTTGGTCACTATCCCTGTGATTGCTATTTTATGTGCATCAGATTTGACAGTGAGCATTGCCCTATTTGATTTAAGACAAGTGTGAGGAAATGATCAAGAAAGAAGGGCCAGGAGTGAAGCATGTCCTTTGGATCCAAGGCCCTTGCACTGGGTACTTCCTTGACCCAAAGAAAATTGATCCCAAGATGCATGGTGATTTCCAAGAGACCTCAAACTACAGATGTTGAAAGGAGACCAGCACTTCCCCCTGAGACAAGAGAAGGTGAAAGTCTGTCACTAGAGTTGGTACACTGAATTTGGACTTCTGGCTTATTTTATTTTAAAAAAACCATTGTTGTGCACACACACCACAAATGGCGACTACACATGTGAACTTCTCCGGATAGAATACACAGAAATCATTTTGGCTACATCTATAGGAAGAGTCTATGGAGAAGTTCAACATCAGCAGCTAAAATCAGGCCAGGGTTGGACTATGGAACAAATAATCAATTCCTCACATGTATGTTCAGGTTGAAAAATTAAGAACATTAAATTAAGTCTGTGAGATACAAAGTATGACCTTGAGTATTTTCCACCTGAATTTTGAGAATTTCTCAAGGACAGATTAGACGGCCTGAACACAAATGACAGAAGAGCTGAGGAGCTGCAGGATTACATCGGAACAGCAGACATGAAGAAATCATTAAAAAGACAGGAGAGGAAGAAAAGATCAAGTAGATGCAGAAAAGCCTTGGAAATTTCCTCTTAGTCTTAGAGAAGTTAAGAAAGATATGATACAGTCAAAGAGCTGAACAGGGAATTTCAAAGGGCAGCTCAAAATGACAAAGTAAGATATTTTAATGAATTATGCAGAGACCTAGGGTTACAAAACCAAAAAGAAAGAACATGCTCACCATTGAACTGAAAGAATTAAAGAAAAATATTAAGCCTCACATTGCAATATTGAAAGATTCAATGGGGAAAATATTGAACAATACAAGAAAAGTCAAAATAAGATGGAAAGAATACGTAGTCAATGTACCAAAAAGAACTAGTAAACATTCAAATATTTCAAGAGATAGTATATGAGAAACAATCAATGGTACTGAAGAAAGATGTACATGCTGCGCTGAAAGCATTAGCCCAAAACAAGGCTCCAGGAATTGATGGAATGTCCATTGTAATGTTTCAACAAGCTGATAAAGTATGGGAAGCACTTACCCTTCTAAGTCAGCAACTTTGGAAGACAGTTTCTTGACCACCTGACTGTAAGAGATCTACCCAGTCTACAGACAGGTGAGCCAACAGAAGACCCAAATTGTGGAACAGTATCATTTATATCACATGATAAATTGTTGTTGCAAGACCATTTACCGATGGTTACAGCAGTTCAATGACAGGAAGCTGCCAGAAGGTCAATTAGATTCAGACAAGGACGTGAGAAATACGGTGTCAGAAAGATCTTGGCTGACAGTAGAGAAATATGTTTACTTATGTTTTATTACCTATGCAACAACATCTGACTCTGTGGACCACAATAAACAATGGATGGCCTCGAGAGGAATTTGGAATTTCAGGACACTTCATTATACTTTCATGGAACCTGTACATGAATTGAGAGTAGTTGTGTGAACAGAACAAGGCAATAACGCATGGTTTAAATCAGGAAAGGTATGTGTCAGGGTTGGACCCCTCCCCATACTTATTAAATCTGTATGCTGAGCAAATAAGTCGAGGCGCTGGACTACGCAAAGAAGCATGCAGCATCGGTTGGAGAAGGGCTTAGGAACAACCTGAGCTATGCAAATGACACAAACTTGCTTTCTGAAAAGGTGGAGGACTTGAAGCGCTGGCTGGTAAAGATCAAGGATTATAGTAGGGATTACAGTTCAATATAGAGAAAACAAAATCCTCACACTGGACCAATAGACAATATCATGATACATTGAGAAAAGATTGGAGTTGTCAAGGATTTCATCTCGGATGGCTCCCCAATCAATGCGCATGGAGGCAGCAGTTAGGAGACCAAAGGGTGCATTGCATTGGGGAAAGCTGCTACACAAGACCCCTTTAGCGGGGAGGGGGAAAAGAGAAGCTGACCCCCCGGACTCAATAGAAAGTTAATGCCTAGACAAGAGTGCTGGCAACATATGTACAAACATGCCTGATGCAATTGATGCATGGCTTGTAATAAGAGTTATAAGAACCCCCAATAAAATGATCTTTTAATAAATAAATAAATGCAATTTAACCATGAAGACAAATGGATGAAAACCAAAAATGTCACTTTGAGGACTAAGGTGCACCTGACCCAAGCCATGATATTATCAATTGCTTCATATGCATGGAGATTTTGAACTTGAAATAAGGAAGGTCAAAGAATTAAGGTGCTGAAACAAAATACTGCAATGACTTGGTACTGCCAGAAGGACAAATCTGTCTCAGACGAAGTAAAGGCAAGGATGACCACGACTCTGTTTCCTGTATTGTGGACATGTTAACAGGAGAGACTAGTCCCTGCAAAAGGATATCATGCTTGGCAAAGTAGAGGGGCGGTGGAAAAGAGAAAGATTCCGAACAGGATGGACTATCTGAATGTCTGCAACAACGGACTTAAACATCGCAACAATTGTGAGGATGCAGGATCTTACAGTGTTTGCTTCTAATGTGTATTGGGTCACTATGACTAAGAAGAATAACAACAGCCTCTTAAACTACAAGAGAATATTTTTTTTAATTAAAACCATCCACTTGTGTCATTTCAATTATAAAGCACTATATAACAAAGACAGAATTTGATCAAAGGATTATTATGAAACAGTAGTGATCAGCCTCTCTTTCTGTTCCACCACATTGGGATTAATGCCTGGTTACTCCCCATAGCCTAGTAAAAGAAGGAAATGGGGGCACTCAATAGGGTTTTGTATTTTTAATTAACCAGTTACTTGCTCATTCATAAAGCTCTAATTGCCTTTTCTACCATAGTTATTTGTTTTTGTTTTGTTTTTCACAACAGATGTTAAATCACATCTGTTCCTGCCTTGATTTCCCAATAAACCTTTTCACACTTAAGAATTATACATTCCACTTCAATTTTTAAAATTCTAAATTTCAGAGCAATTGTAGATTGTTTCTAGAAACTCAATAATACTACCTTTGATCATTCATCTTTCCTATGAAAAAACTTAATGTGCTCACATGGTACTGCTTAATTTTTTTTGAAATGTTGATTTATAGCTCTCATGCTGGGCAGAATAAATAAAATATGTAGATTTATCTTCTTCTTTTATTATATACAGGAGATATAGTTATTTATTTCCTTATCATAAACTCAGACTTAAAATGTTTGTAATAATACCCTGATAAAATCTTGGAAGAATTACTATGCTTTCTCAAGTATTTAACTCATGGTCAAAATGACTATCATTGAATGCCAATCATGGAGGGGGGCTTGACAGCAGTCAAGTTATATGTGAAAATGATAAATAAGACTACTTTAAATGTTAGGATTCCACGTTTTCTTAATATTTAAGGACTAACTGTGTTGAAAACCATGAGCCCTGGGGACTTTGATTTTCATTTTAAAATAATACTTTTATTCTCTAAGGACATGAAAACAGTACTAATTTATTTAGTTAAGCTAGCTCGAAATAGAATGGAGGAAGTCATTAACTGAGTGAACATAAATCTCCCATCCCCATTCATGCCAAGATGTATGTGTTTTGAAAATACAAAATCACTTAAAATAGGGCGAAATGTCTTGAAGATAATTACATTTATCTTCAGAGAGGGAAGCCTAGAAGTCTTAATTCACTGACATGAAATTTGGGTTGGACAGCTGCACAGGAAGGAAGGTTAAAGATGCATATTCATGTGTCCATTTCTACCCGACTCTAAAGAGGCCCAAGATCTGGAGCTCATGCGAGCGGAAACTTTCACTCCAAACTTCAACCTCTCTCCAAACCTTCGAGGAAGCTGATCCACTGGCTTCTCCTGCCCTTGCAGCTGGTTCGTACTGTGGCACGATGAACCACTGAGCCAACCTCCGAAGTGCCAGACTGGACTCTCACTAGTGTCAGAAACACTTTTGTGTGAGAAATAAAAGAAGTTTTTTCTGATGTTGGTCGAAATACCAATATGCTTAGATTTGAACAGTTCAAAATCTGGGGGAACTTCCAGGAGGAATGCCAAAATCTGAGCTAGCATTCTCAGTTGTCGTTTCAACAGTTGTTAAATGTACAGGTTATAGTCATTTGATTGAGTTTCTTAGAGCGTCTCTTGACACAAGGCAATGAGGCAATACTTGATACTCAATCTCTTCAAAATCCAAGTTGTCTACTTTCCTTAAGACCGAAAAAGAAAAAAAACAGAAAATGACAATCCTTTGTCAGCACTGAAAAGAGTTGATAAGGATTCTGGGAAAATCCCTTAAAGACAAATACCTATGAGAAAGTGTAAAAGAAACATCTTTGTCAACATTGTGGAAGCTCTGAGCTCCCAAGCTAAGATCAGAGGCATCCCTTGTTTGCCTTCTTCAGCCACTAATGGTACTTTGGTTTGGAACTCAGAGTTAGTCTGTTACTAAAAGTTACACGTTATGTAGAGTTCACATGATTATATACACATTATATAGAGTTCACATGATTATATACACGTTATATAGAGTCACATAAGGCCAAAAGTATGATCTTTAAAAGCTGACTGCCCACCAGCCATGAACTCCATGCCCATGAAGCCCGAGACGGTCCCTCGACAGTACCTTTCATGGCGGGTGGTGTGTACACGCTCTGCTTCCTTTGTTTCGGTGATGCATTCTGTGACTGTGGACAAAAGGGAAAAAAAAGGAAAGCCTTATATTTCTATAAAAAGTATAATACCATCAGACTTGTGCGGAAATATGTGCTGAGCCATGTTTCCAATTTCTCCTTGTCCTAATAGAACATTCATCAATGAGGATTTATGTTCTTGTTTAGCCATATCAAAGGCTTAAGAAATATATGAAGTTCCAGGGTCTATTGTATCACCAAACTCTTCACCCATTACAGTGCTGAATTCACTCAATTTTTGTTTCCTCACCTAGTAAAGTCAGTTTGTTTTTAAAATAAAGAGCGAGACATCAGTTCTTCCCATTGGAGAGGAAAAGATGAGAGTTAGCAAACAGTAAGTCAAAAGGCCTCTCTGTGGTGAAATGACACATGCTGAGGAGCTAGTTAAGTGGAGGAAGATGGGGGCATCCTTGATAATACAAATCTAAAGTCATTTTGGGTTGCCAGGTTCAATCTAAATCTTTTTTTAATTGCAAGGTTGATAAAATACTAGTTTTTATATTTAAAAGAAGGAGCCCTGGTGGTGGCTTGGTGGCTTATGCTTCGGGCCACTAAATGCAAGGTAAGTTATCCAAAACCACCAATCATACTGGGAGAAAGATGAGGCTGTAAAGCAGTGGTTCTCAACCTGTGGGTCGCAACCCCTTTGGGGGTTGAACGACCCTTTCACAGGGACCACCAGATTCATAACAGTAGCAAAATTACAGTTATGAATAGCAACAAAAATAATTTCATGATTAGGAGGGGTCACCACAACATGAGGAACTGTATTAAAGAGTCACGGCATTGGAAGGTTCAGAACCACTGCTGTAAAGGGTTACAGGCTCAGAAACCCACTGGATTCTATTCTGCCCTATAGTGTTCCCACAAGTCAGAACCAAGTCAATGACTGTGAGTGTTTGTGTCTGGGTATGTTTTAATGGAGTTTTGGTATGTTTAAAGATGTCTTTTCCTAACAGAATTGCTATTTAACACTCTTATCTATCCACAGTGGCTCTAGATGCAATGAATAAAGATAGAATTTGGCATTTAAAATGATAAAATGGAGGAACATACATAAAGGGCAAAACCGCACATCACAACTATGAAGCCATCCATATTCTACGTTAGACATAACAAATATTGTTTATGAAAATAAGCATCCAATACAGTCTATGGTCTATAGCCTAAATCCGATTGTGCCAAAGACTCCTTTTTCCTTTTTATTTTTACAACCAACTTTTCCACTGAGAGCATTTGGGGGGTTGTTTGATGAGCCCTGCTCCTGTTCCCACCAACACCACAGGATTCTTTCCAAAGTAGCATATGGGTTTGCATTTCAAGGTGGAAAGGGTAAGAATTTTCATCACTGAGTTTTAGCATCTGGGGCAATTTTGTTGTTTTGAAAAGCACAAGGGTAAACAGTTCCAAGATTCTACTTGGGGATTTTTTTTCAGGCTATCTGACAAGGTTGGGTAGGAACTCTGGTGGTCTCTAGTTTCGCAGTCGGCTGGCAGTTCAACATGACTTCCTACTGGGAAACCCATGGGGGTGATTTTGCCTTGTTCTTTCAGGTCGGTCGTTAAGAGTTACAAGGAACTCAAGGACAGTGAGGTGGTGAGGTGGTGCATGCCAGAAAGAGTGAATGAAGGGAGAAGTTGCTTCATCTAGTTGAAAATAGGCATTTTCACTTGTGCATCCTAAAGTTTGCTTTTGTTAGCTGCCCTGTAGCAGATTAAGACTCTCGGGGACCCCGTGTGTCCAGGGCAGAACTTCTCCATAGAATTTCCAGCTGTGAACGTGTGGAAACCCAGCAGGCATGTCTTTCCGTGTGCCTGGGCTAGCTTCCACCGCTAGCTTTGAACTCGTAGTCAAGCGCTTAATCATTTGTACTCTCCCAGGACTCCCATGTAAAAGCTTACTTGATCTCAAAAGTATTATTGAGATGTTGATATTTACATGATGTAAAAGTAACTGTTGGGGGGGGCGGGGGGGCGGGGGGAGACCAAACCGCTTCTCAATCCATAACAACAAAGCAAACCGTAAAAGCCATTTTCCCTTAATGGAATGTTTCGATTGCACTCTGTTATGTGCAGGTTCGGGGAGAACGATCCACGTCAATCATGTTAACTCTTGCTAGTCCTCTTGTGCCTCTGCTCTACTCTCACATCTGGCTGACTGGAAGCAGCAGACACCACAAGGGCTTCTTATTTCTTGATTTCCATATGCACACGCATAAAGAAGGAGCAAAGTCAGTTCCACAGGAAAGTTACTTTTGTTGAAGAACAGGAAGTTGATGCTACTCTGTATTTTCTGTGAGGTAGAAAGACTGGGCTTTCTACTCCCGTACAATGTTCTGGGAAACTGTCTACTCTTGTAAAGGGTCCTGGACTCGCCGGGAGAGTTCTTCCTTGTCCTATAGCTTCAGGAAGCGTCAACATGAACTCCATGGCAGTCGCTTTGGACTTCGGGATATTTTTATGTGAGAGTTTACTTTTGAAAGCATTTCCAAATGGACGATTTAGAGCACTTTTGTAAAGTGTGCTTTTGCATGTCATCCCCATTTTACTTAAGTGATGCCACGGGCCTACTCCTGTAGCAGGAAATGGACCGTTAAGTCCTCACAGCTTCCCATTCAATTGAATGCATTTGGGGCCTCACTTTTGCTCACGTGTTTATAGTTAACCTATCCTCTCGTATCAGCTTCCCTGGCCTACCATGATTCTGATTTTCTGTCTCAACTCCTAAGTATGCATATGCAGGGAGGACAGAGATTAATTTATAGACTGGAAGCTGAACTTGAAGAAGAACACATTTTGTAAAGAATTCCTTAGGTCTTGTTCTTTAAGCTTTAAAAGCCTTGGTTCCCTCAAACTCTTTCTCCGGGTCTCTTGTTGGCTCCACACACCACAAGACCCTTAAAGAGGTGCTTAACCTGTGTCCCACCTTTCTGCATCCCTGTCTTTTAGTTCCAGGATTCCAACTTTGCCAGGCCCCACCCTGTGGTAGTAATAAACAACCAGACACAAAATTAAAATCATTCGTACTATAACTTGCAACTAAGGGAAATGGCTAAATTTTTTAAGAATTCCCAATTTTTTTTTTAAAAAGGCTTCCTTTGGATTTATGAAAGTAAGTTATATGTAGTAGCATTTTAAACTAATGTTTTCCTTCTTATAGACGTTTTGACAATCTAAAGGCAGGATTTTAATGGCATCATTTCATTATTTGTTCAGACAAGAAAAAAACAAATTAAGTAGTAAATCATCAGCTATACTTATATATAGATAACATTAAACAAATTTAATTATGTTTTTAATTGAGCGCAAATGTATTCAAAATATAAGAAAACTTACTTCCCCCTGTGGGTTGGTCACCCTCTTGTCATCTATTTCTGAAAGAGAAGTAGGTGTTATTGATTAGAAAGGTAAAATTCCTCTTTTAATGTGCATATTAACATTGTCAACAACAGATCAAAATGATTTAAAAATTGCTCCTGTTTATGTAATATCTGTGGCTTCATATAACACAGGGCAGGGGAGGGGGGCAAAGGGAGGGGGGTTTCTTCTAAGATAACCTCCCAGCAAAGGTTTTAAAATAGAAAAATAAAATAAAAAGACATCCCTGATGGAATCTCAGATTTCCTATTTTCAAGTAGTCCAACAAGGGGATTAGGGAAATGACTCTTGGAAAAACTATTGTGTCATCAACTGTATACTGTACACTGTTCAGCACAAACAACTCTCTCCCCTCATTGATTTTACAGCTGCTACTTCCACCTCCTACTGACTACACAGCCTCTGTTGGATATCTCTGAGTCTGCCACCAACCAGACAGACCTTCTTTTCCACCAAACCAAACACCATGATTCTTAAGAAAGGTAAAACTCCCCCCCCCACCCCCGCACTATATTACCCTGGAGAGAACCAGCCACTCTACAAAAACATTTCTTTTTTTTGAGTGGGGTTTCTTTTTTTTTAAATCATTTTATTAGGGGCTCACACAACTCTTATCACAATCCATACACACATCAATTGTGTAAAGCGCATTTGTACATTCAT